TTCCTCTGCAGTTGGGAAAAAGGGAAGATACATTAGCTCTCACCACTCAAATCACAACATTGTACTGGAAGTTCTGGTTACTACAGTAAGGCAAGAAAGAGAAATAAAAGGCATACGGAGTTGAAAAGAAGGAAGGAATAAAATGATTGCTATTTCCAGTTGACATGATTAAATGCTTAGAAAATCCCAAGAACTACAAAAACTCTCCTAGAACTAAAAAATGAGTTATAGTTAATAGGATACAAGATTCAATACATACCATGAACAGGTGTATAAAAATATAATACCATTTGCAGTTGCTTCCAAAAAATGAAAAAAAATTAATAAGACATGCAGGATTTATGCAATTAAAATGACAATATGTTGATGAAATCAAAGAAGACCTAAATACTTGGAGAATCATACCATGTTCATGAATTGGAAGACTCAATGTAGTAAAAATGGCAAGTTGTCCAAATTGATCTATGTTTAGTGCAATTCCTAGTAAAATCTCAGGAATATTTTTTATAGATATAGACAAACTTATTCTAAAATGTATATGGAATGAGAAATGTCTTAAAATAGCCAAAACAGTTTTGAAGAATTAAGTGGGAAGAATGACTCTTCCTTATATTAAGGCTTACTTACAACTGTAGAAATCAAAACAGTATAGTACTAGTGGAGGGATAGATACATAGATTAATGGAACAGTATGGAAAATCCACAAATAGATCTATAATTATATGCCCCACTGATTCTTGAAAAAGAAGCAAAAGCAATTCATGGAGGATGGATTGCCTTTTCAGTATGAGTGCTCGAGAAATTGGACTTCCATTCATAGGCAAAAATATGAACCTTGACCTAAACCTCACACCTTATAAAAGAATTAAAAGAGATCATTCACTCTAGGGGAAAACATAAAATTGTAAAACTTTTAGAAGGAGAAAATTTCAGCCCTTAGACTAGACAAAGAGTTCTTAGACTTGGTGTCAAATAAAAGGAAAATGTTATAAACTGGACTTCATCAGAATTAAAAACTTTTGGGGCACCTGGGTGGCTCAGTTGTTAAGCACCTGCCTTCGGCTCAGGTCATGATCCCGAGGTCCTGGGATCGAGCCCCACATTGGGCTCCCTGCTCAGCGGGAAGCCTGCTTCTCCCTCTCCCACTCCCCCTGCTTGTGTTCCCACTCTTGTTGTGTCTCTGTCAAATAAATAAATAAAATATTTTTTTAAAAAAAATTAAAAACATTTGTTCTGCAAAAGATCTTGTTAAGAGGAAGAAAATACAGATTACACATTGGGAGAAAATATTTGTAAACCCCATATTCAACAAAGGGCTTGTAGGTAGAACACATAAAGAATCACCAAAACTCAACATTAAAAACACTGAGAATCCAATTAGAAAATGGGCAAAAGACTGGCTAAACATTTCATCAAAGAGGATATACACATAGCAGATAACATCATTAGCTATGTGGGAATTGCAAATTAAAACCACATTAATGTATCATTACACACCTATCAGAGTGACTAAAAGTAAAATGATAAAAACCAAGTGCTGGTGATGATGTGGAGAAACTGGATCATCCATTGTTGGTAAGAATGTAAAGTGATACAGCCATTCTGCAAAATAGTTTGACGGTACCCTTTAAAACTAAAAATGAACTTACCATAGGTAATTCTACTCTTGGCACCTATGTCCCAGAGTAAAGAAAATGATTTCACTCAGACACTTGTACATGAATTTTCTTAGCAACTTTAACTCTTAATACCCAAAAAGTTGAAACTACCCAGTGTCCTTCAGTGAGTGAATGAATGAACAAATTATGGCGCATCCATACCATGGAATATTACTTAGCAGTAAAATAGAAAAACCATTGATTTATGCATCCAATACCTTGAATGGACTGCAAGGAATAATACAAAGTAAACACAGTCCATCTCAAATGGATACGTACTGTATGATTCCAATATGTAAATTTTGTGAAGTATAAAGATGGAGAACATATTAGTAGTTGATAGGTGTTAGGTATGGGAGTAGTGAATATGGCTGTGAAGTGTATAGTAATAATACAACTGAGTATCTTGGTGGTGGTTACATAAAGTTATATGTGGTTACATAAAGTTTATGTGTGACAAAATTGCATTAATACAGATACACAATATGTGCATGTATAACTGCTGGAATCAGTTTCCTGGCTTTGATAGTGTACTGTAGTTATGCAAGATGATAAAATTGGGAGAGGCTGGATGAAGGGTCCATGAAAACTCCCTGTACATTTTACCTTTCTGTGAATCTGTAATATTTCAAACTGAAATGTTAAAAAAAAAAAATTGCTTCAAAGTAACTCAGATTTTTCTACTTAAATACCATGGTCAAATACCATGAAAGGAAGATATAGTCTATAGTGATACTCAGATCTCCTCCACCCACTCTTCTGTAACTGTAGATATTTCCATTCATCTTTTCATAGTTCACCTCACATCTTTGCTCAGCCTTGCCTATTTCTTGTTTTCCTTCACCTTCCCACTCTCTGACTCATATCTCAAAAGCTTACGGAACTAATAAGCTAATGCCAAGATCCCTTTGAAGAGGGGAAGAAACTGAGTGGGCAGTAGCCTTTGGTCAGGCTCCAAGAACAGACAGGCAGAGCACATTCATATAATAATACTTTTTATTCTGACATACCCACAAAGTAGGCAGTATTTTTATGCCCAAACTTACAGCAGTTTAAGTAATTTTGCTGAAGGTCAGCAATGGTTAGGTGACATTGACAAATGTGTGAACTGACAGAATTTGAAGTCTTTCCTAGTCCATGTTCTTAACCATCATGGTATACTGCCTGTCCACCATTATAATACACTGATGTGCACTACTGCAGACTGTATATATAAAAATGGTATGGCATGTCACACTTAACTGACTGGAGGAGGTATGAGCAAGGCTTTCTCCATGGATGAAATGTTTGATTTGCATTTTGAAAGATGAGTAGAGTTAGCCATTTTAAGAAGATGAGTGAAATCATGGCATAGTGTATAAACCACAAGGAGTTGTCATGGCTAGAATATAGGCATTGGTAGAGATGAGAATAGATACGGCTAGGTCACAAATGGCCTTATCTGCCATGCAACAGAATAGGATGTATTCTATATTCATATATTATGAAGAAAATGGGAACCACTGAAAGATTTATGTGGGCTTTGATGTGAAAGAAACTGTTAAAAAGGTTACTCTGCATTGTAGAGAATAGAATGGGGTAAGGAATAGACTAAGAGGTATAATGATAAATTAGGAAACTCTTGGAAAGTCAGAAGTCAAGAGAAGAGAGCATGAACTAAAGGGCGGAAACTAAAGGGATAGTTAGAGAGTTAGGAGGAGGTGGATTAGTAATTTGACAGGTTTTTGGTGGAGTAGAGAAAGAGGCAAAGATAACTCCCAGCTTGCTGACTTGGGTGGCAGATTGTGATCAATAACTAAAGTAGGAATAAAATCACGTAGTAAAAAGAATGATGAAGTCAGGTTTATAAATTGTTTGAAGTAGCTTTGCTACATAAAGAGTGGAGTTGTCCAGAGGTCAGTTGAATATACATAGACGTTCAAGAAAAAAGGACTGCAAGGTTGATTGAGATTTGGGAATTGGCAACATATTTGTTAAAGCCTCGGAATGAGAAGAGAAGAAGGACCAGAGGAATGAACCTTGACAAAATATTGACATTAGTGATGAGCCAAGGAAGAGAAAAGCCTGGGAAAAATAGTGAAGATTGATTGGAAGAACCCAGGAGAGAGTGCTGTTATAAATACGAAAGAGAGGAGAGATTTTTTTTTTAATGTGTGAATTATAGAACACTCTTTGGTGGAATATTATGGATATTATATAGTCAGTTAAGAATAATATTTTTAAGAAAAAAAATAATGTTTTTAAGGATACTGAATGTGAGGAGAGACTCAGAATATTAAACTTAATATGCTGATTAATATTAAGGTAAAATCAGAATAACTATAGTAAAATCCAGTTTTGTAATGATAAAATGTGTATGTATTTATACATATGAGGAGAAGGAAATTTGGAAGTGAATAACCTTAGACATTAGGTGCTTCGGGTTGTCGAATTGTGAATGATTTATAAGTTTTCTACAGTGAACATATGTTTTTATGAGAGAAAAAAATACTTATATGGATACAAACTAATTTCCAGTGGAAATGTTAATTGCAAAGTTTACTCTGAAGGGTCCATTTGAATTGTGAACTAGGAAGTCAATGGTAACCTTGAAAATTTTCAGAGTATTAGTGGGATCAGAAACCAGATTGTAGTAGGTTAGAAAGTAAATAGGAAAAAAAATGTAAATAGGAAGCAGGAAAATGGAGGTCATGAATATAAAAAAGTATGCTTTCAACAAGCTGATAAAAAGACATTAGATAAGGAAGTTAGACACTGATGATTTTTTTAAGGAAAAAATCTTATAGCATAGTTGTGTGCTGAAGGAAGAGAAAATGGATAGTTTGACAATCTGATATTTTTTGGAAGGATATTAATAATTTCTAATGACATAATTCCATGTTTATGCTAAACTGTTTAAAAAATGATACCAGTTTGTGATTGAATGTGATCATTTGCAATATAGTAACAGGACATGCCCAAGTGTAGAATTTGAGTTCAAATATTTAATATTGTGTCGATTTAGTATGTAAACAAATGTGTAGAAATGATCGGCCCTTTACAGAAAAAAACTTTGATTTGGGTTTAGCTAACCTCCAAAGCAGTTTTAAGAACTTGATTACTTAAATGACTAATAAAAACATAGCTGTTCTCTCTTTTGAATAATTATGTATGGGGTTTAATTGCTTCCTTCTGTTCTCAATGAATGTATTGGTTATATTGATATAGGAAAATGCCAGGGTTTATCAGCTAGAAATGATCAGTGTTTGCCAAACGAAATAAAGTGGCACCTGGATATTCCTAGGTAAGATGCTAATATAGCCTTAGTCATTCTTTAAACTTAGTACATTAAATGATGAACAGGGAATCCTGCAAAACCTGGCAGCTATGTATGGAGGCAGGTCCAGCTCTTCAAGAGGAGGGAAGCCAAGAAACAAAGAGGAAGAGGTATGCTTCCCGCATGTTCGCTACCTCCGTCACATAGCCATTTTTGAGTTTATTGCCTTCCTTTCTTGCATGGTTTAAATTCTTAACAATTATTTAAGGATTTTGTAGGTCTAGAGGGACCTGTTAATATAATTTGACTGACATGCTGTGTCATAATTTTGCCCCATAACTGATATTCAGTATTCTGAGTTCAATTTCTTTTCTTTTGATAAAATTAAAAATTTATAATGTGTTTCTTTTCAGAAATAAGTTGATCTAAATTAAACACTTGAAAGCTAATATTACATTTCCATTAACCAGATTTTGAAACTTTTATTTCTTGTATTCAGATTAACACTTTTCTTTAAATTAAAAAAATTTTAGCAGTAAAAATGTTGATAGTTCTTTCTTTAAATTAAACTGCTGTATGTTTTTTTTCTCTCCTTGTAGGTTTATCTGGCAAGACTGAGGCAAATAAGACTGCAGAATTTCAATGAGCGTCAACAGATTAGAGCCAAACTTCGTGGTGAAAAGGCAGGTTGAAAAATAATTTTTTAAAAAAGTAATTGAATGACATTATAATAGATTAAGATTAAAAATGCTATGTCACTGGGGCACCTGGGTGGCTCAGTCAGTTAAGCATCTGCCTTTGGCTCAGGTCATGATCCTGCAGTCCTGGGATAGAGCCCCAAGTCACGTTCCCTGCTCCCTCTCCCTTTGCTCCTCCCCCCTCCACTTGTGTGCGCTCTCTCTCTCTCTCCCTCTCAAATAAATAAAATATTTTGTAAAAATTAAAAAATTAAAAATGCTATGCCACTGACATAAAATCTGATGGAGTTAAAGTCAAAGATCAGAAAACTATGCATAGAAATAAAATACATTTTAGATGTGGGATTTAAAATTGATAAGACCATTTTTCCAGAGGAATTCTGAGAGGAAAATATAAGTAGTACCCATGGCCATTTTATATCATTCTATTTTTGTCTTTTTTCCATTCATTGTCCGTAAGAGTTAGTAGTTGTGGATAGTTCACTTGTAGCACTTGAGAGAAAATTAGCCATGTTGAGCATTTTATATTTTTAGGTTAGTTTATTCATATTATCTTCCACAGAGCTCTGCACTGAATTCAAGGGTCTGTCCTAAGTGGTTTGCTTACCTATTTACCTTGTAGAAAGAAGCTGATTATTCTGAAGGACAAGAAGGAAGCGAGGAGGCTGACATGCGGCGTAAAAAAGTTGAAGCATTTAAGGTATAGACTAGAAATATACAGTTTTTTTTGAGAAGATTGGAACCTAAGGTAGAAAATTGTGTTAAGTTTTGCATAGTTATTCTTTTGCCTTAATTTTTCGTTCCCCTTTATCCCTCAATGTTTGGTTTCTGAAAAATAGTGTCTTCCTCTCTTCGTATCCTGTATTTATGGAGAGTAATTCGATGAAATCATGACAGAAGTACATGAAACTATTGCACAAGTAATCTTAAAAAGAAAAAATGGTAACCTTAAAAATGAAAAATGTAGTTGTCCATTTCTGTGAAGACAAATGAAGTCTGTATATAATAACCATAGTTTAAAATTTTTACATTTGTATTTCCATTAGAATGTGCCTGTATTTTTATTCAGCAAATACTTACTGAGCAGCAGCTGTGTGTTGAGCCTGGTTTTGGTGCTAGGGATATAGAGTGAGCTTCTATTTTTACTCGAGAAATTCTCCCCGACCCCCACAACTCCTCCTTTTTGGCTAATAAGTAAATCGTTTTAGATACCTAAAACAAAGCAAAACAAAAAAACAACCTATACCCTTCTCTCTGGTAACTAATTTCGTTGATTGTTTTTATTTTCAGGCCCAAGCAAGTGCACGTGCTGCTGTACTAAAAGAACAATTAGAACGAAAGAGAAAGGAAGCATATGAGAGAGAAAAGAAAGTATGGGAAGAGCATGTAAGATTTAGCTCATATTCTTGATCCTGGTCATGTTATTAATGTTCCTATCTCTCTTACTGGCTAGTATGTCACCATTCTAATTTTGTAATTCTTTTCTTTCCCATTTTTTATTCTCATTCATTCTCCCTCTCCCATCCCCTCCCCTGGCTCTCCCTCTCTATCACCCTCTCTGTCTTTCGTATTTAAGGATGATCAGTATGGAAGTTATTTTGGGGTTTGATTTGGGGTGAGAACCTAATTTACTTATTCTAAAATGAGTAAGTTTTAAAATAATAAGTTTTTATTATTGCCAAGTAACTAATCAAAGTGCCAGCATCACTTAATGTCTATGCTTTCTTTCTGCCACTGATTTATAAAGCTATCTTTATATATTAATATAAATACCTATATAATTAATATGAATCAATATTAATATAAATATTAATATAAATACCTATATATTAAATTTTTATACAAACTAGAGAATGACTCTATAATATACGTGCATCAAGCTCTCTTCTGTTCCATTACTCCATCTGTTCTGCCACTACCTCATTGTATTAGTAATTGTGGATTTAGAATATATTTAAATTTTTGATAGAGTTTTTCCCTCATTTCCTTTTTACTCTTCTTTTTACATTGTTTTCCTTAGTTGCTTGCTCTCTTTTTCTTTACCAGATACATTCCTGGGTAACTTTTGTCTCTCTCTCTCTCTCTTATTTTCTTTTTAAATTCTATTGGGGGGCGCCTGGGTGGTTCAGTCAGTTAGGCATCTGACTCTGGATTTCAGCTCAGATCGTGGACTCAGGGTTGTGAGATCAAGCTTTGCATTAGGCTCCTCACTCAGTGGGGAGTCTGCTTCTCTCTCTCTCTCCTTCCCCCCCCCACCCTGCACTCTCTCTCCCTTTCTGTCTCTCAAATCAAGAAATAAATCTTTAAAAAAATTCTGTTGGAATTTTTATCAATATTACCTTAAACCTACAAATTAATTTATTCAGGAGCATGTTAAGTATCTACATTTATTCATTATTTCTTTTTTATCTCTTACACAATTTTGATCATTTTAAGGTCATACTTGTTATATTTCTTGTAAAGGTTATTTGTTAATAGTACCTAATTCTGTTTCTGTTTTAAAAGGGTTTTTTTCTTTTCCTAACAGAATATTGCTGATATTTGGAGAAATCGGTGGTTTTTGCTTATACAGTGCTTATTCCAGCAATTCTTAGTTAATTTTTTGGATTTTTAGTGTATCAGTGGCAAGTAGTCATGATATATATCATAACAGTAATTCCTACAGTTTATTGTTTATTGTATGCTAGACACGTTATAACCACTGCACGTATTTTGCTTTGCTTAATCTTTACAACTTTATAAAGCAGATAGAAAGGATAAAACAATTAGGTGACGTTATAATTCCAGTAAGTATGGAACAGGGATTTGAACCTGAGGCTGCCCAGTATTGAAGTCTTTATTCTTATGCACTCACCTTAATTTCCCTTGCTTTCTTCAAGCTGTACCTTATATTATTGTTTTACTTTTATTACATTGGCAGAACTTCTAGGATAACATTAAACAATAATAGGGATATTTTGTTCCTGTTTTTAATGGAAATACTTTACTCATTTTTCTGTTATGTATGGTAAAATAATAAGGAATATAATTATATCTCTAGGATTTATAGTTTTTACCAAAGGTATGTTTTGGAGTTTGATCAAATGTCTTGTGTGTTTCTTCTTAATTCACCAATTGAAGTAACATATAGGGAAATTCTCTTCTTATGAGATTCCTAATGAAAAAGAACCACTTAGATATAAGGGAATGAGTGAAAGAGACAACTCCAAAAGTTAGAATAGGCCTAAGGATTGTTTGATAATTCCTTTTTGTTTTCTCTTGAAAGTATTTTAGGTAATAACTGTTCTGCTTTGTTCATCCTCTGTTAGTTACGTTTTCCTCGTAAGTTTTAAAAGTCTAGCAGTGGAGAAATCTCATCTTATTCCCCCTTTTTCTTTCCTGACATAACATGGACAAGGTTTGAGTGTGAAACAGTAACTGTGGTAATGTATTTCATCTTCCCCAAGAGTGTCTAGAAATTATCTCCTGGCCCATTGACCAAAATTTACCTGGCTTTAGATTGCTATATTTTTCAAATGTTTTAAACCCAGTGTTCCTTAATTCCCTCTTTTTTCCCCCCTTATTTCAGATGTAGTAGCATGAATAGGGCAAGAGTATGAGACAATTACAATGCTAACTTCTCGGCTCTTCCTCAAGAGAAAGTTTTAGCAACCAAGTTTGTCAGAAGTAGAAATAATTCATCTTCATAGTCAGAACCAATGATTTCTCCTGTTACCCAAGTTCCTTTAGGCTTACCTTAAAAAAGGGGGCATGTGCCCCTTTGAATCAGATATTTTGTATCCTTTGGCTAAATACCTAGTAGTGCAATTGCTGGATCATAGGATAGCTCTATTTTTAATGTCTTGAGGAACCTCCATACTGTTTTCCAGAGTGGCTGCATGAGCTTGCATTCCCACCAACAGTGTAGGAGGATTCCCCTTTCTCCTCATCCTTGCCAACATCTGTTGTTTCCTGAGTGGTTAATTTTAGCCATTCTCACTGGTGTGAGGTGGTATCTTACTGTGGTTTTGATTTGTATTTCCCTGATGCCAAGTGATGTTGAACATTTTTTCATGTGTCTGTTAGCCATTTGTATGTCTCCTTTGGAGAAGTGTCTGTTTATGTCTTCTGCCCATTTCTTGACTGGATTATTTGGGTTTTTTTGGATGTTGAGTTTGATAAGTTCTTTATAGATCTTGGATACCAGCCCTTTAAGGACCACATATCTTTCATTGGATTATCAAAAGTATCTTTGACTAACAAATGGTAAAAATCACTGCCTTAATTATTCTGACTCTTTGGCATGTAGGACCCATATTATAAAATTTTCTCTTTGACATACTTCAGTGTGAAAATTATAGTACAACGTAGGATTTTAGTATGAAGAAAAATTTTCATGTGTGGTGTTAGAGTTTTTTCCCCCAAATAATATAGTATTGCCTTTCTCAGTTGGTATATATATTCATATTCTGAGTGAAACGTAAGGAAGATAGCTTTTTAAGAGTAGCAATGCATTTAATAATTAAAATGAAATGAAAAACAGAATTAGGGAAATTATGTATTGATTTGCCGAGAGGCTATTTTTGAGTATGAGGAATTCCTTTTTCATTGTGTTTATCTCTTTTCTTGTCTATTTCATTTTTGTTTCTTTGTCCTGTTCTTTGGCTTTGCCATAAAGTTCTATAGGGCTTCCTTCAGGGTGGAGAACTACTTCCCCCTTCTGGCCATCCTGGAGTGTTTTTATCTTTAGTGTTTTTATCTTCTGTGAAACTTTGTTTTCTTAGTTTCATTTTTGTGTCTTTTGTCATATTGAATGAACTTTCTGAATTAACTCAGTCTAGTGTTTTCTCTTTTGGCAATTTAAAAATAAGTTATTTTCTATCTCAAGATCTGGTTAACACTGAATAACCTTGACATTCAGGTTATGAATAATATATTCGTGATGTTTATGTAGAAGGCCCAGCTCCTGTTGTACTAATCAGTTTGTGGTGTGTGTTACCTGGGCTTATGATGTTCCAACACCTCAGTAGTTACTCTGAATTACCTTTATATTTTTGTTAACTGACATAGTTTTGTTATTAAGTAATTGGAAGACTTAGTAGGGCAGTCTGTTTGTTCTTTGGTTTAGATTTCATTATGTCTGACTTTCTCTGCGTGTTTATTATTTCAGATTCTTATGATCTGTTTAGTTGACCCATGGGAGAGACTAGTATATGTTTGATTATGGAATATAAGCATTTACTGAAGTCTGCTGAAGGTCGTTATTATCAAGGTGCCATTAACTTTGTCTTACACATTGAATCGGATTATCTTAGATAATAGACTATATACCAGTCATTAGCCATATATATGGCAGCCAGATTTTGATACAGTACAAAGCAAATTCTTAATAGTAATAAGTGACATTTTCATTAAAAATGTCTTTTCTTGATTAAAAGAAGTGTTTCTATAGATTCAAAGATGAATAGTATGAAGAGAATTTAGTAGAGATTTTCCATGTTTTAGCATAATCCCTACTGTACTGAATTTGATTATCTTTGGTCTAACTCATAGCACTTTATCAGTAAACAGATTTTTGTCTCTATTACTTTAGGTTTCTCTTAAGGTTGAGATTAATATAGAAATATCTCTATTTCATATACTTTACAATTTAATAATATAAGGTCAAGATAAAGGATTTTCAATTCCCTTATGTGACTTTTGCCATTCTTTAAATAAAGATAAATCTGCTAAGTATTCCCTAGAGGTTGTTAAATTTTTCTTAGGCCATATATCTGCACTTTCAGAGAGTTATGCCAGCGGTTTGTTTAAATTGTGTATGAATTATGTGTTCTTGTGTATAAGCATTAAAAAGAAGTATAAAAGAAATGTAATAAATTGAAGCATTCAGGTATAGATGACTTTTTTCTTTGGTTAAGAGTTTCCTTATAAAAAAAAATAAAAAAAGTTTCTTTACGGTTCCTGTTAGAAGCAACTGCCCAGTAATTTTGGAAATGACTTTGAGATCATCTTCATAAGCATAAATAAAAATTATTTATGTCACAGGCCGAGAAAGGCAGTGGTGTTATTCTTTAGCAAAATTGGTTAAATTCACATTATCTCTCCTGTTTATTTATACAATTAAATTACTCTTTTGATCATTCTTTAAAAATCTTAGTTTTTTAAAAATTTATAATGCCAAGTATTTGTCTGCTTCCTATTGACTTTACAGTGATAATTAAAAACCTTATGCAATGCAAAAACTTTAAATTCTGATTATGCACAGATGGGAGGTTTTTGTTTTTATTCTGCATTCTAGAGATTAGAAACTGGCTTTGAGCAAAGCCAGTTTCTTCATTTTGTCAGGGTCTAATATCAGACTTTTAGTATTTAAGCCAAATAACCTTATTCAATAGAAACTAAATAAA